TTTATAAGCATTTAAAGATTAAATTTTGACAAAATGTATCAAATTTAAAATTGAATAATTATTTTGTAGATAAAAATTTATAAAATGTTCAACTTTTATATCTAAGGATTGAAAATTTAAAACAAGATTCCATGTAAGTAATTAATTCTGTTACCAAAAAATCTAAAAAATACACAAGCACAGTTTATTTATATAGTCAATTTAAGTTCAAATTTGGACGAAATGACATACCAAAAAACCTAAAATAACTATTTTAGTTATTTTGTTGTGATTGAATAATATTATTCGTGGGTACTTGAAACTTCTAAAGTGTCCAATTATATATCTATTTTAGTGTCACGATTTGTTGTTGATGTATAACGCGTTATAACTTATAATTACCTAATGGATATTGTGATATGATTAATTTGGAATTTATTATAGGTCAATATTTTTTAAAATACCATAGATATGTATATAATATGTCTTAAACCTAGACTGACATACCGTCTCCGTTCAGAATCGTTTTTCTTATACAATTAAATTATATCATTGAATTCAAATATAATACCATCCATTATACAGTGACCCAATTGTAACCTACTGTACAGCAGAACACCTTTTTCAATATGATCCGTATGCTCTTAAATTAATATCATAATTGGTGAAATAGTACGTCTCTATATAATATATCATAATTCATAACTATTTCTATTTTGTATGATTGTATTGTTTAAAATAAAGTTTTTCTATTCAATATATAATTGACGTTTGAAATAGTTACCGAAATCACTGTTGGATCTTGGATGTAAAATTTTATATTTATATAACATATATAGCTCTTAGAATATTTATAGCTAGAATATTTATGATAGAGAGACCGCCACAACCGTTTGACCATGTCTTAGAGTAGTAGAAAAATTTTTGCGTTGTTGGCTTTAATATTGGAGTAAATTGACCTTTTATCGGATTTCAAGATAAGGAAAACGAGTTATGAGCATTTCTTATATTTTGCATTGTTATAACTACTTATAACTCTTTAAAACTAAACCCTACGAGATGCCAACATTGGTTCTATTGAATACAAATTTGTTATATTATGTTGATATATTGATAAGTACGTCTGTAAGACGGAGACGACATACGAGTCTCTAAATTGAAGAGTTCATATACTGACAGACAACAGTAACATACCTACATTTTTATGGAAACCTTGAGGTTTTCTCTAATCAAAAAGAAAAACAATTTTAATAGGTATGTCAAATTACCTATTAGTCATAATTTTAAATTTCCATTTATATTTGTAATTTTAAAATTAATTATATAGATTTATAAACTAATATTTCGTGAGAATTATTTATCATAAAAAATAATTTGAATGTATATCAACATTTAAATGTATTGATTCACTGTATGAATACAATTATTAATGAGTACCTTTTAATTTTTATATCAAAAATTCTTATAGCAATGATTATTTTTTATTAGGGTGTATAATGTATATATTATTGCTGAATTATATTTGTAGTGGACGAAATAATACGTAATAAATTATAATAGGTTATTATATATAACTTTATCGTTATTATACGTTTTTTATATAAAAAAGTTATATTTAGTTTCGTTTATTTTCACATTAAAATATAAAGTCAATTGACATATTATATAACATTTAGAGGTAAGAACGTAATCTGTGTTTTCTCGATATTTTAATTTTGAAATGGCTTAATGAAACATCTTCAAAATGTAATTTTAAGAATTTTGATCTAATAAAATAATACTTATAACGTTTCATAAATTCAATTAGAATGTTTAAGATCCAGACAAGATGCAGATATTTTATTTTTATTTTGTGGCACTCGCTTCACTTCACTCACCTAAGCACATAATATTGTATAATACAATTATTTTAAAGAATACTAATACAACTGAGTGGTTTATAATAAAGAACTACGGTTGCTTACATTTCTTCAGAATGTTTCTTCGGTAATTGGTAGTGTTTTCTCGTATGCATTTTGAAAATACCAAGGATACCAGAAATTACCTCTTCTAAGTACTATCTAAAATAGTTTCCTGATCTTAGACATTATTGTAAGCCTAATACATTCCTCACTTTGCTTAGAATCTAAAATTGTATTGTTGAATATGCAGTTATGTAAAATTCTTATTTAAATTTAACTGATAAAATGCAATTTTCACCATAATTATTAATTGGTTATTACTTATTAATAATTAAAGCGAATTATTAAAAACTATAAAGAATTAGCAATTGAATTTTAAAAATATTTATAGTTAATTGTTATAAGTTGAAATACACTTTTATCTATAAAAAAGCGTCACTACTCACTGTATATATTTTTAGTGAAGATCTGAACTTTGAAGAATATTGTTTGTATGTAATTTTAATTGTGGTTGTTCGACGTTCCTACTTCCCCACCATAACGAAAACCGTTTTGATTATTTTATTTGAATTTATCAGTTTATACCTAAAGAGTGGATTTTTTAGGTTTTTACATATGTTGATATATTTATTGACTTTACGCAGCTCAGCGAGGGTCAACAATGTAAACGTCTTATCTATCACAAATTTTGTAATGAAAATTTATTATTATTATTTTGGAGATTATACAGCTTAGCTTACCTATATATTTTATATTTAAGATTTACATCGTTCATAAAAAATCATATTCGTTTAATTTACGAGTAATAATTAATTCGTCATAGAAAAAAAATGTTTTTATTTTAAAAATTATAAATTACAGAAATCGTCCAATAATTTGTTTATAATTAAATTAGGATTTTAAATAATTTACCAAAGAAAACTTGTACAATAATTATTTTCATATTTAAACATACCTATTATTACATATCATCATAATGCAATTTCAGTAGATGATAAATCTAAATATTATAAATTTATACAAATATGTTTCTGATTGCGGCGAAAAACTCGTCGTATAACGTCCGTCGTGTATAGCTGCTCCATATAGGTAAACCAATGCATTTTTAATTCGACGGAAAACGCTGCGGAATATACGAGGTGGAATACGCCGTGTATAGCCCCGGCCTAAGTTGTGTTTTATTAATGTGAAATCATAGTAAAATTGCTTCCATTTTTATGTTGGATAATGATTTATTTAATATGTTTTTTCACTTTTATTACAGACTATAGTGGCATTTTCAATTTGGTCCCTTTTTTTAAGTGCATTGAATTTCGAAATAATCTGCAAGATCGTTTTTACGTAAATGTTATATTTTTTTTATCGCGACGACCTTATATCAAAATTCTTAACTACCGTGGTCAATAGAGTAGCTCTGATTTTTTTTAAATAACCTAATAATATTTTGTTGAGAATAATTTAAAATATTCGATGACTCGGCGCTATTGACGATTCAAACCTTGTTAAATATGATATATTAATTGAAATTTTAAGATTGAAAGAAATGGCCAAGAATTTAAACTAAAGTTTATCTAAAATGTGTATTGGGGAATTGTATCCAAGGCAATCCAATTTTCAGCAATTTTTGAAATTCAAATATTTTTCCAAGAGTATATTCTTTCTGTCTCAAAGTAGACCCCGGGTGGCGAAAATGTAAGAAAAAAAGCCACCGAAAAATAATCCACGGGAACAATAAGCCACGGTAAAAGAGTCAAATAAAAATTAATAAATATATAAAAAAAATATTAAATTATTATTTTAAATTCTGAGTAGAACGATGAATGTTATGATTTTGGTAGGCGGAAAAAAAGCCCATAAATATAAATATAAATGTGAATACATGTATACTGTACTCCTAATTAGTAATTACCATGTACCTATAGGCTATAACAAAATATAATAATATAATTTTGCATATAATAATACAATTTTTCTCCCAAAATGGTATTGTGGAATCCCATTGAGGTATTTTTTAATTTCTTATAGCAGTTCAGTGCTTTTAGCACATTTAGACTAAATTCTGGGCTTGTTTTATTCAAAGATTTTTGCTTAAAAATGTAACTTTGTAACATGCTAGGTATACTAAAATTTTACTACATTTTCGAATGAACCTTACGATATAAAATTGAAATTATTTAGAGTATCCGAGTATCGACGGAAAATGAAATGAGAATAATTCTTACCTATCATCGGTCCATGTAGGTAATGACCGGTGAAGGGAGAAAAAGTGCACATAGGTATAAAATACGCCGGAATACTGAATACCTACTATTATTATAAAATGAACATTTTTTTCAAAAACATTTTTGGGGATTCAGGATTGGGATCTACCTTGAAAATCTCGATTTCCCGGTGGGCCCATGTAGGTAGTGACCGGTGGAAGGGGGAAAATGTGCACAGAATCGGTGAATTCTATTTTGAGACACTTAAGTTTTTCATCTATTTGATCGTGAATCAAAACTAAAGGACAAAAGTACAAAACATATCAGATGTCAAAGTTAATATTGCTTGCTCTTTTCAAGACGGTCCCAGATTTCAAGTAAATCATATACATTATATGAATTAATTTATTAGTTAATAACAACTAAAATTATGTAGAAATAATAAATAAATAATAATCTTAGACGATTTAAAATGTATGTAAATATAATTTTTCAAATGTGAAAAATATTAAAAATATATATTTAAATACAATAATATTTGTCATCCTTCCCTTTTATTATAGTGGTAAGGCTGAGCCTTACTTGCCTTACGCAGTGGCCGTACTTGGAATTAGAGTCTATTTGAATACTAGGATGTTATTTCCTATATAATAAGATAAGAACGTTAGTAATTTGTCTTAGTTCAATATTTTGAAATGGTTGTATTCTATTGATGTTGGGCATTTTAACAGTGGGTACTTCATAGTTTGATGCCATAATTCAGATTTAATGTTAGAATATTAATTTATGTGTGATGATTTAACCTTAGTGAACTCTCACCTAATTTTTATAGCTGCTTTTTTTAAATTAAAATGTAAAAAAATAGGAAATTTCTATTACCTACTATAAGTTTATATAACCGAATATTTGTAATTTTCAGGTGGAATAACTGACCAAATTGATAATCAATTCAATAGCTATGCATTTATTGAACCGAAATTATTTAATGCAAGGCATAAAAGAGAGATTCAATCAACCAAAATAAATCCGGTTAGTTATTAATTTATTATATTAGTTTATTTTAAATTCTATGAGAATAATAATACTAATATTAATACTCCTTATTGTCTTGGGTAATTTTTTAATAACTGTAATCAATAACAAATTTATTTATAACATTATTTCAAAGTTATTTTAAAAAAGTAAGACATGTTAAAACAATATATTGTTCAAATTATTTCAAACGTGACATTTATGTAACTGGGTTTCCGATATTTTAAATATCATAAATCATAATGTTTAGGTCAATCACATGGATTATGTTATAAATGATAATTCCAACAGTACAACAATGACTGGTTAAAATGAATGCACATTTAAATTCGTGATAATTATTATTGTATATTTCCTGATAAGTGATAACATACCTATATATATATATATATATATATATATATATTATATATGACTGAACATTATACAGCTATTAAAAGTCTGTCCAGTATTAAACTACCTATTTAATATGTATCCAGATTGACAATGTTTGATAGAAGACTGGTATATGGTAGAATAAATATTTATAAAAAAATCAGCTACATATAATATTATATACAAGTGTCCCTTCAACATACAGGAAAGTCTTCAATTTCAAAAGTTGTATAATTGTCCCGATGAATACTCTAAGGACGCCTAAATGTCAGGTATTCTGAACATGGCTCCGTTCCTTAGAAGTTTTGTAAAATAAAAATGTATCCAACGTAGCATGCTACTTGATATATTCTTCTTCGTCGCACGGAAAAAATATTGAATACAGTATATAGGTTTTTTTTAAATTATGATTAAAAAAAGTGGTATCGTAACGTAATTATATTAATCAGTGACATTTGCTAGGAGGAACCTTAAGAAAAATTAAATCACGAAAATAAATTGTATCCAGATTTTAAGGTTCCGTTTTTTTATTGGTTGCTATGGCAACGTAATTATATTATTAATTGGTTACTATTAGCAACCTAGGTACTGTTAACTAAATGAACAACTTTATAACTTATGAGTTAATAAATTTCATCTTTGTAATGGCTTGGTTGCCATGGTAACTGTAACGGGATATCGGTCGAAAAAAAGGTTGTATCTACCCCAAGAGGTAATATATCATATAGGTAATATATAATATGTCAAACTTAAAAAAAACTATTTATTGTTGATCCAGTGATACATTTGTTAAAACAATTAATTCTTGAAATATTAACTATTTTATGACATAAAAATAAATTGAATATCTTAACTAGGCACTAAATAGACCAATCAATTTCAACTCATTATACGTACCGTTTATAATAATTACCGAAAAACATTTTTGACACACGTTCAGAATACATTATTGAGTGAACTTAAACTTATTCATCAAATTTAATAATGTCACGTGGATTACATTAAAAAAAATATAGAAAATGAGTCATGAGACATAATTTATTGCGGAAAAATATTAATGAGTACAATAAAATTAATAAAACCTGTAATTTCAAATCAAATATTAAACAATTAACAATAATAAAAATATTTTTTCAAACCATTTGCATAGAAGGCGATTTTACAAATTTAAAAATTATTAACATATTTCTATTATGTATTCCTGGAACGTTAAATGTATATTATCAATTATGAATAATTTATTGACTGATAAGAAGAGTTGAATGGACGTTTGAACCATACTATATAGTTGTGAAACATGGCTATTTTTCTGAATTGCACGATAATTTGTTAGAAAATCAAGTATCAGTTAAAAAATAAACACTCACCCGAAAAATATTTACCAAAAATGACATAAATTGTGTTAAGACGCTGAAATTTTGAATCAGTTGTAGTAAACCATAGTAAATAGTTTACCTATTTCTATTAGATTAAGTAGATATACTTATTAATTTTAAAATACAGGTTCAAAATATACTGAATATAATTAATTAGTTACTTCTTTTACGTAATGACTTATCTGTGAATTTCGGTCCTCAATGCCGATTTGCGGTGACGAATGTTCGTTTCAGTCTGGAGATTACAACACTAAATTTAGATTAAAAAAATCAATCTAATTTTACCATTAGATTGCTTATGTGACTTAAGTGCGATAGGTAGCTTAATTATAAATTATAACAGGCATCTGTAAGGACAGGCCTTATTGCCACCTTGGATACTAATATATTAGTATTCAATGGTATCTTTAAAATATTTATCTCGTACCTATATGGACATGATTAATCGAAATATTGGCAGGTGATAACACAGCCTCTTAATTTATTATGTTACATCTACGATTAGAGTACGGGGGGACGCCAATAATTATATTATCTGAACATTATTAGTTACCTATCTATCTGTATGATTTTAAGGTAGGGTTTCCGGTGTTTTATAATTGGGTCTTACCTAACCTTTTTGTTTCTCTTAAGAAACTTTTAAATGAGACCCATAAATTGTTGAGTTATAATATTTTATTTTATCAGTTTAAATGATAAGTAAAAAACTTATGCCTGTGTTTATAGTCGATGTTTAAGAGCAAGTATTGCTTAAGCTATACTTATGAGTTATGACTCAAATGAGATTCACGAACGAGACTTTGTCTTAAGAAAATAAAAAGTTTTTCTTAAATTAAGGTTGGTCGAGACCTATTGCTCAAATTGTTTTCACAATTTTTTTATTTTTTAAATTATCAAAATTAGTTTAAGCAATACTTATTCTTAAGCATTGACTATAAACAGGACCCTTATTGTTGAATCAACATCAAATATTGATTGAAATATAGGGTATAAGTTTGTCGGTAACCGATACTAAACTCCACGTTTTCTTAATTGAATGTAAGGATATACTATAATAATATGTCTATCATAGACAGTCTATGCATGAATACATGCTGGCAATTATTACATTTCACCAGTTTTACATTAAAAAAAAGTGAACATCTGATATCCAGTACTTTCCGAGTACAATTATTATCTTTTTAATTGGATTTTTTAATCCCCTTATTTAAACTTTAATGAGTTTAAACTTTAAAGGCACAATACACATTAAATACCTAGGTACGTCCTTCGTACAATTGAACATATGATGTTAATTTTCAAAAACACAAACTACCATATTAGCAATTTATTTATTCTTTAATTACAAAATGGGTTACAACTTACATTTTAAATAACTCGACGATTCAATTAATATAAATTATTAGGTAAACGGTCACTTTGTACGGTCCATTGTTCAAAATGTACAACGTGGACACTTTGTACGGTCGGTTAAAAAGGTACATTGCAGAACGCGGACACTTTGTACTATTATATACATAAAGTATATATATTATAAATATAAGTTATATACCTAAGTTAGCAAGTAAATAATACTATATATTATATATGACAAATTTTACTAAAAATGTTATAAATACATTTTATATAATCTGGGAAATATCATGGGTACATATACATCGATAATAGTTTATCATTATATATATTTCACAATCGCGATATCTACGTTAAATACTTATCATAATAATTTTATTGAAGGGTGGAATAGTTCGTTCAATAAATTAGTAGGAACAACAAATCCAAGTTTTTGGACGGTTTTGCGAGCAATACAATTGGATGAATGTGGCAATAGACGCTTCATAAGAGACAACAATCCTATAAGTACTGCTGGCAATAATAAACTATTAAATTTGTGTAACAAACATTAAAAAAAGGAAATAACAAATATGGAATTTTTAAATTTTATAGATCGTTCATTTTGACGAATATTATTCTAAAATTGATTTATTAAACCCTTAATATTAAATAATTATGTATGTGCACTTTTTATCTAAGCTTGATACCATTTTGACATATTTTCATATTATTATACTATACAATATTATGTAGTTTTTAAAATTTTTGTCAATATTATACTTTACTTGTCATTTTGAGATATTTCCATATTATAGGTACCTACTATGCATGTAGTTTTTAATGATTTTTTTTCATTATTATATTTTATTTGTCATTATGACATATTTATATTGTACATATTTTTAATTTGCTTTAAAACTGATATCTAATATTATAATACAATTAAGATTTATAATAATATTATTGATTGTTTGATTATTTTGATCATTATTAATATACGATGAAACAATTTACTTTTTATTTTTAAATTTTAAATTTTAATAATTTACATAATTTATAATATTATATATACTTACTACTTAGGTACATAACTTATATTTATAATATATATACTTTATGTATATAATAGTACAAAGTGTCCGCGTTCTGCAATGTACCTTTTTACCCGACCGTACAAAGTGTCCGCGTTTCGCACTTTTAATGCTCGACCGTACAAAGTGACCTAGAACCAAATTATTATGTACCTTAAAAACTAAGTACAGTAGAATCCGCTTAAAGGGGACACCTGCTTAAACTGGACATTAATGATGGTCCCGAATGAATGTATTGTATGTAAAATTCTTCGGTTAGTCGGGACAGTCAGGATAATGGGGACAAATAGGTCACCGCCCGTTGTGTCCCAATTAAGGGGATTCGACTGTATTAAATAAAATATATATTTAAAATTCAAATGCAAAATAATATGGATTTGATGTAACACAAAATATCCTATAACATACTATATGCACCAAATATGCTGTAAAATATGCTCGTAAAATCCACATTTTAAAAAATGTATGTCTTAGGTTTTAAATAATTATATTTTCCGAAAATATTATAGTGAATCCAGAATAAATACAATATAAGATAATAATTGAGCTGGTAGAATTGGAATTTATCTATTTTGATTTCTACTGAATTGGCAGGCCTTATTAAGATCTGTGTTTAAGTTTTTATTTTCTCTAAATTGTATGTAAAGTTTTTATTTAAGTTACAATATAATACAAGATCCCATAAAAAGATCAGTGATCTTAAAATTGTAAAACATTCTCTAAAAATTGTAAAGTTTTGTAATACACTGTTTAAGAAGTCGTAATTTTAATCACACTTTCATGAAACATATTTTGTACTTACTTAGCTGACGATAGGTATAGACATAACACATAGTATGATCGACCAGTTAAAATATACGAACCAAGTCCTAGTTATCAGTAAACCGTATAAGTACCTACCGTAGTACCGTATAGCTTACCTTGAAGTTGAAGAATCGTCTTTGTTATTGCATCGTCTAAGAATGAAGATCTTCCAATCTTCCTACATGCACACCAAGGACGGCTCTGAATACACTGTCTCTAATTCATCAGCTACAGAAAATTGTTGTCCGCCCGTGTGCGTCATTATAGACGAACAACGTTCTCTTTTGAAAGTGTAATAATAGGTGTAATTTCTTTCTAAATATCATACAAAATTGTCTAATTCATTCTCAATCGCCCATAACATAGTGTAATTAAATGTACTTAGGTAAAATAATACTCGGGGTGCCGCCGCTGGATGACTTCCTTTCCGTCAATCAAAAAATCTCATCAAATTTACTTATTGCATAACATGTTGTAAACACAGATTGTAAATATATACATTTTTGTTCAATAAAAAAAAAAAAAAGGTAAAATAATATTAAAACTTACTATAATATTTCAATAAATAGTGGTTTTTCAAAAATTTTGCATCCATTTTTAAATGAATATAATCAATTCATAGTTATTTTATATTTAGTATTCTAAATATTGCCCTAAATGTGGTCGTAAAATTAAAAAACACGGACATTTTTAATGATTTAAAAATCATCCTTGCTAAAACACGAAAAGTGTAATTGGTTTTTTTTTCAAAGCTTATTTTATTGAGGTTGTAACACTTAGTTAATCTATCACTATTGTTTAATATGTTTGAATAGTTAATACTAAATATCAATTCTTTAACTTTATTATACAAATCATTTTGACTCAATGCAAGTTATATTATGTATTTATGTCATTATGTAACTCATGTAATGTGTAAGCAGTTAAATATAGATTATCTTCAATGTTGATCTGTAATTAACTCGTTTCTGTTCTGCATTATGATTATATAGGTAGGTGAAAACCACAACAATTATTATCAATAATATAGGTAGTTTGACAAGATGTCTACAATTTTAATTTTGACTTGTATTTTACTCAAGAAGATTGTTATTGTTATTTTTTATTTTATTATATTTTTTTGTTCTAGAATGGACTGGAGCATGCCCATGGTATTACCTTAATATTTGTTGACAAACGACAAGAATATATTATTGATCTCAGCCTCAATAGGTGAGTTAAAAATATTATTTAATCAACAATAATAATAATATAACACTAATTTATTTTGTAACTTTTTACTTTCTTCAGAGAACTAATTCCAGTAAACTATTTTGAAAAACATCAGAAAGATGGAGCTCGTGTAATAAATAGACCAAAAGCTAACGTAAATTTACATTTTTATTATATCATAACAATTAAGTTAATTTATAATTAAATTAATAGGAACTTGAATTTTGCAATTATAATGGTAAAATTCGTGATTTTCCATATTCCTGGGCAGCAATTTCTACATGTGATGGCATAAGGTTAATATAATAACTTCTTATAAAGTAATAGAATGATTAAATAATTAGTGACTGTTATTTGTATAGAGGAATGTTTTTTGATGGGATTTCATACCATTATATTGAAAATGTTGAACGCGAATCAGGTGATAAGTACCATATTTTGTACAAACATGAAGATCTTAGAACTAATCATACCTGTGGTAAGTGATTGTAAAATTATTTTTTGAATTTTAACATAATGTTTTATTTTCAGGATTTCCTAGTTCACCTGAATTTACAACTAATCAAATCAAACGCGTAAGTAGATTTATTTTAGCAATTATAACATACTATGATATATTATCATATTGATATAAGTTATGTATATTACATAATATGTATCATTGCACCTGTATAATTTTTGTAGAATAAAAGAAACACGAGGTCTTTGAAGGGACCATACAATGAAAACGACAAATCTAGATTTATCGAATTGGTATTTGTTGTTGACCAAGAAGAGTATAAGTATTTTAACAGTGAACTTTCAAAAGTCTATCAGCATACTAAAGCTATTGCAAATATAATAAATTCAGTAAGTTGTATCTGTCTTCTAATATTGTAGCATTGTATGAAATGTTATTGTTATTTTTTATTTTTTCAGCTTTATATACCACTAAACATATTCATTACGCTTGTTGGAGTGGTTGTGTGGACCGAATATAATGAAATTACATTAGAGGCAAATGGTGACACTACATTGACTAATTTCTTAACCTATCGTCGTGAACATCTTGTCAAAGATCATCCTAATGATAATGCTCAATTATTAACGTACATACTATTCTTTGAAAATTATTAAAATTATATAATTTATTTTTTTTAATTTTGATATTTTCTTTCAGAAAAGTTCAATTTGAGAGTGGTGTTGTTGGTAAAGCCTTAAAAGGACCTATATGTACTTATGAATTTAGTGGTGGTGTAAACAGCGACCACAGTCTTGTACAGGGTTTGGTAGCGACAACTATAGCACATGAAATAGGTCACAACTTGGGTATGGAACATGATCAAGATGACTGTGATTGCCCCGGTGAACGATGTATTATGGCGGCTTCTTCAGGGTAAAATGATGGTTAAACTTACATTTTTCTAAGTCTATTTAATTTAAAATTTTTGTTTAGATCAAAGGGTCCAACCCACTGGAGTTCTTGTAGTATGGAATATTTAGCACTAGCGTTTGAGCATGGAATGGACTACTGTTTGAGAAATAAACCTGTTAGGTAAAGTTTACTAAACATAATTGTTAATTTATTTTCCATATTTTCTTTTAAATAACATATATCTCATGTAATTATATTTATTTACTTAGATTTTATGTTTATATTGTTAGATTATTTGAAAGCCCAGAGTGTGGTAATAGTTTTGTAGAAGATGGAGAAGAATGTGACTGTGGGACAAAAGATGTGTGCAGCAATCCTTGTTGCAATCCAGAAACGTGTATGTTTTATAAAAACGCCACTTGTGCCACAGGACAATGTTGTGATTTAAATGTAAAATTAAATTGTTTATGTTTATTTTTAATATATATTCAACATCCTATACTTAAAAATAAATACATTTTTTGTAGACTTGCCGTGTAAAGTTTGCCGGTGTGGAATGTAGATCGGCCACACATGAATGTGATTTACCTGAGTACTGTAATGGAGATTCAGAGTATTGCCCTGATAATGTGTTCAAATTTGATGGATCCCCTTGTGAAAAAAATCAGGTTAGCTTAAAATATTCTGTATTTTAATTTTTGAAAGTAACTAATCATTTTTCTTAAAATCAAGTACCTATTAAAAATTATATTTTATAGAATATCTTAGATAATCATGTTGTTAAAAACAATATAGATACTTTGCAGTGGCTCAAATAGGAAAAATGTTTATGGGGGAGGCTCAAGACCCAACATTTTTTATAAATTATAAAATATATTATATTATTATTTTTTGAGGGGGCTTTGAGTGATTTTTTTTTGGGGGGGCTAATCCCCTCAAGCCTCCCCTTATTTGCATGAATAAATTACATAAATTAAAATTAATACATATTAAATTACATATTAATTACACAAAAATTGTAGATGTTGCTCAGCTGAACAGTAGGTTAGAAGTGGGTCACTACTCACTGTATGATGGATGGCATTAAATTTGAAATCAATGATATAAATATCATTGTATACGAAAAACGTAGTGTGGATATTTTATATTATATTTATATTGTTATTACTTATTATCAATTCGGTAACCGAAGAGTTCATATCATTGTAACAATATATTAAGAGCCTTGTATTAAATTTTCAAGCTTTTTTACTCAACAAATAACATTTTATTGATATTCATAGAAAAAAAAACTTGAAATGTCTGTAAACATTTCAAAACAAATCAAAATATTTTGAAAATGTTATCATGTATAGAAAATACTAATATATAAAACCCAGTGAAAATTTCATGTATCTACGGTCATTTGTTTTAGAGTTACACCAAAAACCAAAATCGATTTTGCATAAAAATTCCCGTTTTTCCTTAATTCTTAAGTTGTTGTTCTCGGTGCTTTTGTAAACTATTGGGAATTTTAAATGTTGACCTCCCGAATGCACCAACTAGATTCACTTTCCCATCAAACAAAATACTGTTAAAAAAAAAGTACTTAATTATTTTATGTCTGTTATAGGCATTTTGCTTTAATGGATCTTGTCGTACGCATGCAGATCAATGTCATTTATTATGGGGCCCTACTGGAGAATCATCGGCCGATGAGTGTTACCAAATGAATCTTAGAGGATCACCACAAGGTAACTGTGGTTACAATCGCCTGAACAAGTCTTATGTAAAATGTACCCAGGAGTAGGTTATTTTTCTTACTGATAATTTATTAAGATAATGTTTAATTTTGATTTTATGTATTTGTTCAATTTAGAAATCTACACTGTGGCATGTTACAATGTAAGCACAAGAATGAACGTTTAGAATTTGGTATGGAGACTGTATCCATTGTATCACATACATTCATTAACAGCCATGGATTAATGATACCTTGTAGAACGGCTGTTGTGGACCTAGGTCTAAATGATGTTGATCCTGGTTTAACACCGGATGGTGCATATTGTGGTGAAAATAAGGTTTGCATTATCATAATATGAACTATGAAAATTATTTTTAATCATATAGACTTCTTTATTGTTTTAAATTTTAAGATGTGTGTGAAACAAAAATGTGTAGCAGTGAAGGATTTCAGAGCACAAAATAATTTTTGTGAAAATGATTGCAATGGCAATGGAGTGTGTAACAGCAAAGGCAATTGTCACTGTAAAACTGGTTATGCGCCACCATACTGTGATAATCCTGGTCCTGGTGGGAGTGACGATTCTGGACCAGCATCAAGTCCAAACAGTACTTATTTGATGTTTATAATTTTATTGTATTCATTTATTCTATTTACATGTATTTTATTTTAGCATTCAAAGGATTCATGACTGGAATGTATGTTCTAACATTTGGGGCCATTCCACTCTTGTTAGCTGTTTTGTTATTCGCCTATTGTTCCAAGAATCATCGATCACCATCCAACTGGAATAAAGCTAACCGCAAAAAGCTATCGTATGTATCTAAATGTTTGCCATTTATCGAGCGTTTGCAACATTTGGTCATTGATGATGGTGATGGTGATAGTATTGCTTGCACTACTACTACAACTAGACCGCTACCTAGTATAAACACTGTGTCATCCTTAGTTATGCAATACAACAATGAAATTTACTCAGAACCATCTAAGACTAGTAGTTTTTATAATAATACATCAGAGCCAATTTTAGAAAATGCTTATATCAACAATGCATGTTCTGTACCACCGCCAAATTACATTGATGTCGTGAAGTCTCGTCTAAGTAAAAGTGATATTACTATTACAAATCTCATTTCTACAACTAATCCTCAAGTGAATAGTTATTTGCAAGATGGTGTATGGGGAAATTCAAAATAATTTTCTTTTAGAGTTAATTTTAATTAATTTTTTTTTTTTGTATGGCGCTATGTCTGGAAGTAGGACGCTTATTTGGGAGAATTTCTAATAAGCACCCGTTTCTGCCATGTCCGATCGGGGAAAAATATATATTTGCATATAAAATTGATAAATTCAACTAACAATCCTACTAAACCAATAATCCAGTTTAAATTTAAATTAGATCTAAGTTAAATTATAAAAATCTCAAATTTCAAAAATGTTGCATTTTTTAACAAACAGTACATTAAAATAAATGTACATTATGTATTATCGTCTACTATTAATATTCACATTACAATTTTATTTTATTCTGTTAAAATAATTTTTTGTAAATAATTAATATTTAAATTTTATAAATTATATTTACATTTAAATTTATTTAATTTAAAATTGTTATAATAGCAAATTAATTCTTGTATAACATAAACTGCACTTAGGATGCACATGCCTTGTATGTGGTTGTGTATTTTTATAGTGAATTTTGCTTTTCCTAACAGCTAACACTAATTGCACTTGTATTGTTTTATGTATTGCTTTTTATTATGTTTCAAACTGATTAGTTATTGTTTATGTATGGCTTTGTATTATATAATATTATAATGTACATTACTTGGTCTATGGACTATGAGACATTAATCTTGTATTATGTACATTTTATTCATTTGAACTTTCGCTATTGCTCTTTCACTTGCCGGTGTTAAATATTTTCAAATTTTCTTTTAACAGCAATGATTCAGAAGTCGGTAACAAACCTAATGGTACTGTATCACCTTCGAGTACATTATTGATAGATAATCAAAAACCACCAACACTTCATGCAGATCTGGTAGGTAACTACAAAGGATTTAGCATCAAACCGTTGGTGCTCAACGAACAGCCAGTTGTCTCTCGGACGCCAATTAGACCGGCGCCTTCTGCACCTGCCGTAGTTTCCGTGTTGAACGAAAGAGGCGGTAGGCTGCAGATAAGTCAACCGGTGTTGGACGCTACAACGTCATCTGCCGTGCACAAGTTGGTGTCGGTACCGTCGAAACCGGCGCCACCCGTACCGACCGCCGCCAGACCAGCGTCGTTGATGGTGGTAGACAATAAAAATAGTGGTGGTGGCGCAGGGGGAGGGTACCCAACACTGCGTAGGATAACGTCATTTATGAAAAATCAAAAGACCGACGAAAAAAAACACACGATTCCTCGTGCCAACGCCAAGTTTGACAAGGAAGTGTTGAAAAAACTGGAAATATCACATCCAATCCTCCAGAAGGAGATAAACGTACCGTCGGAACCGTTGCCACTGGAGGCGGACCAACACAAAGCTGTCGTGCTCAGGGCGCAGAGCCTGCGCATCGCCAACAACGGCAATCACCGGCCGCGTGTACCGAACTTCGGGTCGATGAAGTGCAAGCGGCCCACCAGTGTTGCCGCCACGACGACGGCTGCAGCGTCTGCCGTCTCCTGTTCAATAAGGCCCACTTCGCCACCTCCGCCCCGACCGCCGGCTTCGAACCCTGTCCAGGTCCAAGTCGACTACCAGATACCGCGACCACTTGTGACCGACTGCAGCCGCGATGGCGACCTACCCGAACATTTCAGTTGCGAGGAGCCGCTTTCGGAAAACATCTATTCGGTGATCGACGAGCGCCCCGCGGTGGACGTGGACGAGGACGATTCCTGCGCGTACAAAGTACCCAGGTCGTTGGAGAGTTCATTGCTGGGCGAGATCGTGTCGGCGATACAGGAACGCAATCATGAGTCAATTTACACGAGTAAACCAGCCGTCGATCAGCCACAGCAGCAGCAGACTTACGAAAACTATAAGTCGTCGCCGGCCGGTTCGACCACCAGTTCTGGGTACATGCGCCCCGTGGACGTCAAATCGCGGGCCGCCTCGTACGATCAGCCGGACTTGGTAAAGAACTGTGATGAAAACCGTTCTTTGAACCCTTCGCCGGACGTGCTCGAAGCCAAAAAGCAACCTACATCCGACAAACCAACCGTACTGTTTCCGAAACCGGTTGTCGGTGTGGCCAGTAAGTTGGCTTTAACAGCTACGGTGGGTCTGAAAAAAAAACTTTCTGACGGTAGTCGATACCCTTCAAAAGGCGTGGCCAACATTCAGAAAAGATTTGAAAACCACGGAAATGTACTGAAAAACCCTCCGATATCGGCCAAACCAACCATCACCGGCAACAGGTAATGTTAGCCGACAAATACTGTATAAGGATATTTTATTATTATTATTTATTTTTTGGGGGGTGGACGAAAGACTGCTGTCAGCTGTCCCGCATTTTTTGTATACAATTTTTACATACACAATGGTGCTTATATTTATCATTTTTATTTCTCGTGTGTAAATATTTTGGTGTACATAGAGTATTGTTTTATTTCTTTGAACAAAATGACTTATAAAAAAAAAAAACTTAATGTGATAAACTTTTACTCAAAATTAAATTTATTTGTGTTCAAAAGTGTTAGTTCCTTTACAGAAAATATTGCAAATTTCAATTTCTCGGATTAATATCCTATATTATAACCTATCATAATATTATTTTCATTTTTATGTATAGAAATAATTAACCAAACCTTTCGGGTGCATTATTTACCTATGGCTTTATATGGCTTATAACTTCATTCATAATTTTTATTTATATCTCTACATTTTATTTTACTAGTCATTATGTTTAATACTTTTAATGTGAAGTTTATATATATATTATTCTATATGTGTTTTGTGTTCATGTATTATACATTTTTTTTCATCTCCATGCTTTTTATAAGCTTTATTATACCAGCTAATGCTCTACGTATATAAATATAACGATTACATATTTTGCTAATTGCTAAACAGTGTAATTTTTTTTTTTATTGTTAAATTTCACGCTTCTGGATATATTTGTATTTTTTTGCGCAAATATTTACTTCAAAGGAAAAATTAATAAAAGACACTAATGTTATTGACGCCAAAGGCTCATGTTCCTCATAGTCTATTAATATATTATTATATAATTATTTTATTTATTATTATTATTTATTGTATTTGTATATAATATTGTAACTACTTGTATTTTATATTATTTTTCATTTTTATTCGAGAATAAAATTAAAATTTTATACTAAATTATTGTTATTACTTATTAGTATTGGTTTTCCATCCTGAATTTGTGATAAATTTAAAAATTTAAATAAAATAAGTGAACTTCCACAAATATAAAATTATTATAAATATTAAAATTGTTTTTCTAAGTTTAAATGTATAATTTCGTCCAAATTTGAACTTGCCTATAAAAAAAAATGAACTTATATATTTTTTGGTGGCAGTATGGACTAGTTAGTCATGAGAACCTTGATTTAAAATGTCATATAATATATGAAATGTTCAAATAAATGTTTGGTGGAAATGTGCAGTAGTATATAGATTGTTTGTTTTTGAATTACAACAAAACCAAAAATTTGTTATTTTACACTTGAATATCCAATGTCGTACAAATTTAAACTTTTTACACTCATAAAGAGTTAATTTTAATTTCCGGTTAAACTATTTTTTCTTGTTTGTGGTAAGTACAAATACTTATAAGGAATCTTGTATTGAATTCTTAAATCTTAGATATAGAAAGAACATTTTTCATGAATTTCTAACTACAAAATAATTTACAAAATATGCATTTCCTTGCATCGTTTAACGCCGCGTCCAAATTGTCAACCAGTCCGGACGTAAATACGTCACGACTGTCACCATTTGACGCTGCAGGGATTACGTACCTAAAAAAATATATATTTCAACTATGTATTCAATATTTTTTAATTGGTACAACTTATGATGAACCTTTTACTACATTTTCTAGCTTTTTGATAGACCGAAAATATTTTGATCGACATTTAAAATGTCTATAAACAGCTTGAAAATCGTCAAAATATTTTGTAAATTATTATATTATTAATTATCCCTACGTTATTGAAGTGTATCAGGGGCACCATTTGAGTTTTATAATGGGGTGCCATAATTTAAGCAGGCCAATTTTTTTTTTGTCAGGCCACATTTTAAAAAATATTAAATACAGATAATTGTCTATACTGCCTAATGAATACCCCCACCAACAACCGCCGTACGCCGTACGCGACGTGCGTGCAGTGCCGTCGCTCGTCAGTCCGTTGTGAACCATAATCAGTGTTGCCAACTTGGCCTTTTTCGAGCTAGATCTGGCTTTTTCGATCTTTCAAAGTCGTGAAAATTCGTCACCTAGCTCCTGGTTTTTTTTCTAGCTTTTTATCATTAATAAAAAACTTTTTCTGGTTAAAAAAAAAAAAAATTATGAAAGTGTTTGTGTACGTAATTCTACTACTTTCAATAAATTGCCATGTCTTTCTTTGTCTACTCTCATCATCGGGTTACCGTGATTTGTACCGTCTATGATTATGATTAATCAGAGTTTAATCGGCCGAATTTGCCCGTGTTATCAGCTGACACTATCTAGTCTGTGGTTTAATCGCAGACGGTATAACTGGCCCTTAAACACTTATAACCATATACTATCTTAAACCATGATTATAACATTACACATATTTTATATTCATGAACTACTACACAGGACTAGGGATGCGCAAAATATATCGATATTATCGTTTCATCGATATTGTGTGTTCGATATATCGAAAATATCGCATCGATATTTTAGTTTCGATATATCGATGAACATCGATGCACATCGATGCACATCGATATATAATATATTTACAAACTACCTACCATTATTAGCACAGGTCTATCATCGAATATAAATAGATATAGTAAAAAAAAAATATGTACCCAACCACAAAGTGTACGATAATATATATGTATATGTACGATAATATTATAACTTACAACCCAACCACAATGTGCACGATAATATATATGTATATACGATAATATTATTACTGTATGAAATAGATAATTTGATCATACAACCGTTTCAAACGCTACGAAACCGACTTCCTTTATGACTTTGTCGCAACAAAATCTAATAAATCAAGAAAATAAGATAAAATTGCTATCATTTTGGTATATCCCGAAGTTGACCAGTACATATAGAATCTATAAATTATCTTAGTATTAAACGTTGTGCCTTTACCTTTTTGTCGCGCACTGTGTATACTGTATAATAATATATAAGTTTCTCTTTTGCATTATTTTAAAAATGAGTTTAAACCTAACTGACATAAATGAAATTTCAAAATGGAGTTCTCCGCGTATTCTCCAATATTTTACAAAACTAAGTCAATATATGTACAAATGTAATATTTGTACTAAAACTTATAAAACACCAAATGGTGGTGTTCAAAATTTAAGAAGCCATTTAATAACGGAAGCTAAAAAAGGACGGGATTCTAATGAAAAAAAAAGAAAACTGCAACCGACATTGCAAAATATGAACACCAAAAAAATAATATTAGAAAAAGTAAATGAAGGTAAGTATCGCTTTTTTTTATATAAAAAAAAATATTTTATTACTTTTAAATTAAATACATAGATACATAGATACAAATATAGGTACACGGTGTACCGTACACCCCCTATTGACTGAAATTTTTCGAATTACAATTTTATAAATTATAAATAGATGAGAACAATATTGATGATCCATTACCTGTAAAATCTACACCGTCAATAGAGGTGGATAATAATACACCAATTGAACATCCGAATCCTATAAAAAAAACGCAGCAAACATTACCAAATATGTATTCTAACATTTCTTCGTTCGCTGCAGGTACCTAATCATTAATCAACACTAATTTATTATATTTGTACATAATATAATTATTAATATGAAATAGAAAATTAATTAACAAATGCAATACTCTTATAAAAATAATATGTTTTATAATATTATTAATGTAGCTGATGGTTCAAATACTGTTAAGATAACCGATGCAATAGTATATTATTTTTGCAAAGAAAATGTCCCATTTGACACGATTGAAAGTGATGGTTTTCGGAATTTACTTCAAACGCTATGCCCACTTTACAAAATTCCAAGTCGTGATACAATTAAAAGACGAGTAGATGAAAAATATAGTGTGCTGTCAACCCAATTTCGTGACAAACTTGCACAAGTCCAAAATGTTACTCTTACAACCGATATTTGGACTGAAACAATGCAAATGCGGAGTTTTATTGGTGTAACTGTACATTTTATTGAAGGGACTAACATTGAATCTGGTAATTTTTCATAATTTCTAGTTTTATTTCTTTATATAAAAATAATTTTCTTTACTCCAGGAGTAATTGGAGTCACAGAACTTCATGAAAGTCATACTGCAGATTACTTGGTTGAAGTGTTCATAAATCATTTATTAGATTGGGGTATTGACCAAAATCAAGTAATGGCTGTAGTAACAGATAGTGGGGCAAATATAAAAAAAGCGGTAGTTGATTATTTTGGTGAAAAGCGTCATTTGTCGTGTTTAGCACATACTATGAATTTGATAGTCGAAAAAAGTATTTGCAAAACCCAGGAAGAAAATCCCAAAACAAAAGTTAAAACTGGAGGAGTACCTGATTTATTAAATAAAGTGAGATCCATTGTAAAATATTTTAAAAAAAGTACCAAAGTGTGTGACGAATTAAGACGTCTTCAAAAGTCTGAAGGTAACAAGGCAATTGACTAATATAGTATAATAAATAAATTTAATTAATATAAATGCAATTTACAGGAATATCAGAAGGAAAATATAAAAAGTTAATACTTGATGTACAAACCCGATGGAACAGCTCATTTTATATGATCGAACGTTTTATTGATATGTCAAGTATTATATCGAGTATTTTACTTTCACGGACGGGAAACGAAGTTCCAGAAATGTTATCTGCACGCGATCTTCAGAGTCTAAAAGAAGTTTGTATGCTACTTGGGGTACTTGAAAAGTTAACAAGAGAACTGTCGACGGAAAAATATGTTATGTCCAGTAAGATTATTCCTATATTAGTATGTACACAAAATTTGATCAAAAATCAAAAACCAACTTTTTCTGTGGCGAAAAACTTACAAACTAAACTTTTAGAAGAGTTCACTTATAGGTGTGGCAAATTTGAATATAATCCTATACTCTCTATATGCTCTATACTTGATCCTAGGTTTAAGGATATTTATTTTTTAGAACCACAGGCAAAGTCTAAAGTTATTAGTTCTTTGGTAAGTATGATTGAGAAACTCCACCCTCAATTAACTAATTATTGCGATACGAATAATATGAATATTGAGCATAATAATGAAATTAATATTAATAGTAGTATGGATCTTTGGAGTTTACATAAAACTCTAGAACAAGAGCATAGAAATAAAACTAAGTCTGGATCGCACGCGAGAGATGAGATAAGGTCATATTTAGATAAAGGAGTTGTTGGGCTCAAAGATGAACCAATTATTGTATGGGAAAATATTAAAGGCGCATTTCCAAATTTATACACTTTAGCCAGAAAGTATTTATCTATATCAGCGACATCAGTGCCTTCGGAACGACTTTTTAGTAGAACCGGAAACATAATGACCAAAAGTCGAAACAGATTATTGGGATCAAGATTATCAAAATTAGTATTTTTACAGTCTTTAGACAATAAATATTGGCAGTAAAATGTAAATAGGTAACCATTATTAATTTTTATTTTTATTATTAATGAAATTTTAACATTATATTATAATATCTCGACAATTTTATACATAGTTTTAATAATAAATATTTATTTTTATTTTTTTTTACTAATAGGATTTTAACATTATATTATTATTATCATATTATTATATCCACGAAAATAAATAAAACGAAATAGATAGATAATAATTACCAATTCCTTTTATACTTCACCTTAATTTTCCTTCTATGTTATATATTATAATGTTACATTAATGTTATGAAGACGAAAATTACGTTTTCAATATCTTTAATATAAAGCTACAGTAATTATATTATAATATAAGTGGATGATAACTATTTATTCGCACATAAAATAAATATCGATATATCGATACATCGATATTTTTCGTTCTATAAAATATCGTGTATCGATATTTTAGACGCCGATATATCGGTACATCGATATATCGATGTATTCTGGTTTTTGCGCATCCCTACACAGGACTGGACACTACAGAGAAAATCACGGACACAAAGTTGTACAGGGTTCGTACACATGCGATGTAACTGCACTCTGCCTGTTAGTAGTACGAACTACGTTTTTTATAGGATAACACTAAAGAATAGTGATATTAGTGATAATAACTGATAATAAATTTACTTTTTAATTTTTGAAAAACAATTATTAATAACACAGTTCAAGATAATAATGATACTATTTATAGAATATTATCAGAAAATAATTACTGCTTAAAGAGTGAACAGTTTAAGCATGAACTACTAAGGCGGTATTTTATATAACAAAATATTTCTTATCTCACAGATGGCGCTGTGTCGCATGTGTACCGAATATGTACAACTTTGTGGACGACCCCCTACTCTCCTCCTGCCAATAGTGTCCAGTCCTGTGTAGTAGTTCATGTTTATATTATTATTATTATCTATACACCTTATCAAGTGTGTTATTATTATTACTTTAAAAACCTATTAAATATACTTTAGTATCTTTATTTAATTGTCAAAATGATGTACCTATAAACCTATACTGTTATATTTATGTTTTTGTTAACGCTCACTAATTTTTATTTTATATTTGAATTCATCAAAGACTGATGTTATTTTATTAAATATTATGTAGTTATTTAATTCATTATCATTAAGTTTCAACTATTTTTTTGTTATGTTTTATACAATGTTACTTGTAATTTGATAGATATTCTATACTTAGTATCTTTATTTAATTGTCAAAATGATTTACCTATACTGTTATATTTATGTTTTTGTTAACGCTCACTAATTTTTTATTTTATATTTGAATTCATCAAAGACTGATGTGACTGAACTACTAGGTTATGTGGTCATAGATATTATATTATAGTCTTATAATATCTATGTATGTGGTCGTGTTAATTAATTTCATTATACATTTAAAAAAAAAAATTTAAAAAAAAAACATCTGGTTTGAAATCTAGTTTTTTTTTTTTTACCATCTGGACTTTTTTTGGCCTTTTTTCACAGCAATTTAGTTTTTTTTTAAAATTATATGTGGCAACACTGACCATAATGTACAGACAGTTCCAATTAGCAGTTAGCACCACTATAATATACGTGTTTAAGTACAATTTATTTGAAATCGGTGTATACTTATCGGACAGTTTTGATCGGCGACCGTCGTGCACGATCGAGTGCAAGAAATTGGGCACGGGACGGCCGTCAGCGCATTCTAAATTTTAATCCGGGCCAATAAGACTCAGCAAAAAAATAGGGGAGCCAAAGTATACCCTGCTCCCCCCAAATGGCACCCCTGAAAAGTACTGTGGGTTTTTTTATGTTGACTCTCACATATAACAACTAGATCTAATTTGCTATATGAAACCACCCTCAAAGTTGACGATCAAATCATTTTTTCAACTAATTTTCGTGTCCATACACAAAAAAATTTAAAACTAAAAAAACACTTCGGTGTAAAATCAATCAATTCACAGCTGTTATCAATTGCTCAGCTTAGAATCTAAAATATTTGGATTCAAGTCTAGCACACAAAGCTGGGCAGTAATACTAGTTAAAAAGTTAAAAGTTACTTCTTATGATAACTTTTAACTTTATTAGTTGAAAAAAAAAAACTATGTAGAAAATAACTTAGTAACTAAGTAATTTCTTTTTATAAATAATTGTAACTTAACTTAGTTATTTTGTTAAAATTAAAGTTATTTACAAAAATGTTCCTATTATAATTTATGAACTGTATATTATTTGCGTTGATATTTCTGAGAACCGCCAGGACGGAGGTATATCTACCGAAGACTGTAGGTATATTATTTAATTATTATATGTATTACTATTTACTATAATATACTATAATATAGACATATAGACTTATAGTAATTACTAATTAGTAGTATTATAGTGAATAGCGATTATTATTATTTATTTATTACTTATTAGTTATTTGAAATATAACTAGGAAGTTTATATTTACTATGAAATGACAACGGTTAAGATGTACCTATGTTACATGTTACTAGTGTACATTGATAGGTAGGTACTAGGTAATAATACAATTTCCAGAACGGACATAATCAGTAATTTCTGATGCCGTGATACTTATGTGTTTTCTACAAACTACACTCTACATTCCTATAATATTATACAGGTATATAAATAAAATAAAATATAAGAATTAATTGATGTCAATTTATAAGTCTCTATATTATATAATATCAGCTTATGTGGTAGTGTCAACTAGTGTGAGTATGCGGCTATGAGGGTTCCAAGTTCCAGCGACCAGCAGTGAATTTAGTCATTCGTCAATGTAATCCTTTGAATGTTAATGCGTTATAGTGCTGATACTGATTTTGTTATAGTTTATGAGTAAGTTAAAAGTAACTTAACTTTATCTCAACTTAGTTATTATTTCCAAGAAAATATGTAACTTAACTTAGTTACTCAAATTCAGTAACTCTTTAAAACTAACTTTAACTTAGCTTAGTTATTTTTTATTTTAGGATAACTTAACTTAAACTAGTTAAAAAAATTGGTTAACTTGCCCAGCTTTACTAGCACATATTAGGGGAATTTTTTCCACTAATATGATTTATGATTATTGATAGTAAAAATAACTGATTTTAAAATAAAATTTAAATATATTAACTATAGATGATCTTAAATGTAAGTAAATATGATACCAAATAGACATTAGCGAAATGTAAACATTTTTTTTTTTTGAAATAGGTATAAGTGTATAACAATAAAAACAAGATTACAAGAAGAAAAAATAAAATAAATAAATATAACGGTTAAAAAATATGTTTGCAACTTAACTTAAGTGCTCCAATTTTAAATGTATTGTAATCATAAATATATTTTATACTAACCGTAAAAATAAATTAAATCAAGTTAAGTAATGTTTGTCTCAAAATAAACTTAAAATATCAATTAGGTAATAGAAAAAATGGACTTATAACCAAATATCACAAAATGAAAATATAAGTTGTATTTTATTCAGTCTTGTATACATTTTCTAATATACTATCTATTTTATTTTTAAATGCCCCAAAAGAAAATATATCATCAAATCTCTTTTTACCATGATTTCCAAATAATTCAGCTTTCCCTTCAATTTCTACAAGCTGTTTTATAGCATCAGCAAAATCTTCAGGTTCAGCATTTCTTAAGTATCCATTATGATCGTTTTCAATAGTCTCTTTGGGTCCACCATTATTAACTGCCACGACTGGTTTACAACAGTACATGGCTTCTAAAGGCACAATGCCAAAATGTTCAAAGGATGGAGTATATACCAAACATAGACAATGCCTAAGGAGTGATATTTTTATGGCGTCCGATGGAGATTTCAAAAATATAACACGTTCATTGAGCTTCATATCTTGAACAAGACTTACCAGCTCTTGAAAATATTCAATATTTTCTATATTCAAAGGATCATAACCCCCAGCCAAGACAAGTTTAATTTTCTTGTCAGATAACATGTTGAAGCTATGGATAGCCAAACCCAGATTTTTCTTCCTCTCAAATCTGTTTATAGATAGGATATATTTACAATTTTCCACGTTCATTAAATCTTTCAATTGTATCGTTTCGGTGTTATCAAAAAACACGGTGTTTATGGACGGGTAGACAACTGTCGGTAGTTTCTTAATACTTTTAAATGTACTCCTAAAGACGTCCAACGTGAAATTACTGTTAACCAAGATCATATGAGCGCAAGCAGTGGTCTTCTCTTCTAGCCAGTCCAACGGCAGTCGATAGTATCGCTTCAGAGCGTCGTCATGCGCGGCCAACAGTTGATCGGGATAATGGCAGTAGAACAGGACTTTGCAAGGCATCCAATTCAATATGGGTATGCAGGCCGATATCTGGTCGACGAACACCAAGTCAGGATTGATGGAACTGAAAAACGTCAAGTACAAGGCGGCGTATACCATGCGAGCGTAACTGCACAGCGCGTAACACTTGCCGAACACCGTCCTCGGTAGCCAATCGCCGACTACGGTCACCGGCAAAGTACCGTCCCTGGTCTCTTCGAAACAGTGCGAGACGCTGTGGTGATTGGTGACGAACCGCACGGCATGGCCAGATTCCTTCATCGCCACGGCCGCGTCGACCACCAATCGTTCGGCACCTCCGATGCCCAGATCTGGGTGCAGGAAGACTACGTTCAATTTCATCGTAAGACGTCCTCCTCGGTCGGCAACATGTACTTAATAGGCAAAAGGACACGTCACACACGCATGTATATAATAATAATCTATTATATTTTATAAGCAGTCAAACGTATATTATTATATTAATCTGATCCTGATGTGAAAATGCGAAACGTATATTATTATTATTTATTATTTTTAACGCAGAGCTGTCAAAAAATTTCAAATAATAATTGTTATCACTTATCTTGATTCGACATCGACATAGATAATCATATCATGTAGTCGACTCATCAATTCATACTGGGAATGTGATATCATTATATATACAAAATCATGGAAACAAATATAATTATCAATGTATAATAATATTGACTTATCAAAAACAATAATAATAATAAATAATAATTAAAAATATTGCTGCTTCCCGAATCCCGGATTCGTATCGTAAAATTTGAAAAAAAAAAATATATTTTAAGTTGTAAAAACAATTTACAATGTCCTGGCAAATTTGTTAACGATCTTGTTTACCCGCATACCAAGTAAGTTTATTATGGCGTACACGTAAGACATATGACGCAGTTCAAGGACTGTTTTAACCCACTTTTCATAGTCGTACAATCTTTTGAAGTTCCGCAACTGAAGTACACATTGATGTTTCTTTTTCTCGATTAAACAGACTAAAATGACTGACGACCTATCACGCAACGAAGCCTTTCGCCAACGACAAGAACGTTGGGAGCATCACATGCACGGCCTTTGTATACTTGACAATCACTTGAATGTCGAAATGGAAATAGCCTCTCACCGATCAGCTGTACTCAACCATCTTGTCGAGAAAGCCAACAGGGTTAAGGATTTGTGGCTTGAATTTCAACGAAAGTCTGATAATGGACGTGTATTGGAAGATACTGCTGTACAAATGGCAATCGAACAACATGGTCTGCAGAGTCATAATTTCCATCAGCCGCAATTGCAAAATATTACAGTTAGTACCTAAATGATCATCTAATATAATTTTTATTCCAGTCAATAGACGTTTTCCTTGATTTTAGATTGTGTCACAACCTCCAAGTAAACCTCCAGAAATAGATAGCGATGATGTATTTAATCAAGCTGTATCTGCAGCAATCGTTGCAAATGGATTAATGACTACTACAACTACTCAACAAGAAAATTTTAATATGTAATATTTTTATGCAAACATTTATATCATCACCAAGTGACAACATCTTGAAAAGAAAATAATATTTCTACACCATTACTTCATACAACTTACAGAAAAATTTGGTAAATATTTATTTACATGGCAATATTAAATCCTAAACTACTTCAATTTTATCGAATAAAAAATGATTAAATGTTTTAAACCCGGATATGTGATAGAAACACCATTTTTTTTAACATGTCATTCAATTAATTGTATTCGTAAAATCTCATAGTATATCTTCTTTTTATGATTATTTATAATTTGTTTAAGTCTTCTTTTGCTTTACCTAATATTTTTAGTGAAATGATTTATTTAATTTTTAAGCTGATTGTTCAAACTATTGTATTTAATTTCTTTACATGTAAGCATTTTAGTATTAAGTTTTGTATTTTCCACAATACTTATTATTGAATTGCAGATGGTGATAGAAATAATAATATTTTATATATTTATAAAATAGAAAAAAAAAAATCTTGTATTAAGTATAATAAATATTATATTGGTCCCTATTGTGATTGATATGAATTGATGAAAGGTTTAAGTTAACTAAATGTGGTTTAATCCACAATTCAAAATATATTTTACAAATATATTTTGTTTTATAGATGTGTTCAAATATTACAATAATGACTGTGTGTACATAATACATACATATTATATTATTATTTTTTACATACTATTGTTGTTATCACTTTAAAAACATATTATTAATTATCATAGATTACTATTCCATTGAAATGTAATGTATATTAAAAATACAAAAATACAAAATAATCATTCTTCTAATAAAATTCAAAGTATTATAGTTAATTACATTATAGTTATTATATTTTATTTTTAGAAAAATTAAATATTTTTTTTTTATGTTTGATTTTTGGTTTTTAAGTTTTAATTAATAAAGCTAAGTACATTTAAAATAACTGTTTTTGTGATTTTTTTTTTATAATTTTTATTGTGATATGTTTTTCATAAATATATTTAGTTTTGATTTTATAATTAATAACTATGATTTTCTCGTTTTTATTGTGACATAGGTCAAATGTGTTGTTCTTTTCATTATTCCTTATTTCTATGTCATATATTATCATTTTCGTCTATATATCCCAAAATACTGTATACCTGACTTATTCTAAAAATTATTAAACATTATTTTACTGGTATAATTGTTATTTTTAAGTTGTAACTATTTAGTAAAAATAAATTGTGTAATTTTGATTAATGTTCATTTTAATATTAATTAATTTAATAATATAACTATTGTAAACAATATTTTGATCTATGTACATAAACCTACTTGTCCATTTGTGACTGTCAAAATAAAGGTAGTTTTAAATTATTGTGAGTACAGTTTACTCATAATTATAAGTTATAAGTTATAACATAAAACCACTGTTTTTTGTACTTAGCATACACTTAAGCTTACTCAAAATAATAATTTTTAAGAAATTTTATTTTGATAATTTTAAAGATACATTTTATTACTACTAAACAAAAATGTATAATATTGTGTATTTGTGTAGTATGAGATACTATTAATTAAGTATTAACCATATAAGTTAGCAGTAAAAAGTTCATAATTTTTCGCTGCAGTCTGTGGGTTAGTGAATTTTTCAAACATATTGCCATTGATTATAAATACTAGTATTTACTATATCAGTGTTTCTTAACCTTTTTGATATCATGGAACACCAAACAAATATATTTTTTTTATGCCTAACCCCTTTGAAAATTATCCAAAAAAAAAACAAAATGGGTAGGGTGGTAATCGATGATGGACCATTCGGTAAATTGAACTTGTGATTGTATCTATCGAAAATATTGAAGGCGTCAAGGATAGGCAACCAAAATTGCTTGCACGATTAACGATTCAGAAGCGACAGTATGACAACGCCTACTTCCAAGATATAGGCTATTTTAACACACAGTCTTTCGTTTTCTTCCTTTTTAGGTCCGGCGATATGACATCACTCGTTGATACTAACTTACGAAATCGGTAATATGCCATCATATTATATATAATATTATGCAGTCATCATTAAAACCCATTAAAAATAAATAAGCTGTAATTGACTATTATGTAATATCTTATGATTTTATATTATGTGCCTAACGGTTTTTTCCACCTTAGATTAGCCACTTCTGGTCTTTAGATATTTTTAAATATTTTGATAAGGTGCTTCCCTATGTGTGATCCCTAAGAAAAACTGTACCTACCAGATGATATTACTATAATATTGGGTAATATACCAGTAACCAGTTACCGTAGACCTCATTATATGAGTATACAGTTTTGCCATTCGAGTTTTTTATAAGGGGTGCTAACATTTAAGCAGGCCACTTTTCCTTCAATATAGTAAATACCAAATACATGTTCCAAGTTTTGAAAACGGCAAAACAACTCGTATTTGGTATATCTATAGTTTAATAGGTACTTAAATAATTCATAAGAGCAAGCAGTATATAAATTGGGGAACATGTCAATTAGGTACCTAATTAATTTCCATTAAACCATTTCCAAATAATAAGTTATCCATCATAGGATCTATTTGATATCTTCCACCGTCGGAGTCGATACATTAATTAGATAAGTACAGTGGCGTGGTGAACGACGTTTACCTAATGCAATTGCTTAGCCCTATAAATTGTTCAGGGGGGTGGGTACTCCTTGGCCAAGGTAAAGATAATAAAGAATATATTAAGAATAACAACCATCGGCCAAAATAGATTGGAATCAATAATGCTTCTATAGTTCTATCTTGGGAAAAAGATATTTCACCTTATTTAGAAGAAGCATTAGATAGAATGGTTAAATCTTCTCAACTGCTAGAAAAAACTCTTGTATTTAAATAAATAAATAATTATATATTAATGTGATAGTGTGACACTGTAAATAAAAAATGATATTATAGTATATAACATATACCTATAGGTTTTCTTCAACAGTAGCTTTTCTGATAGGAAAGTGAATCTAGTTGGTACTTTGGGGGGTCAAAAGTAAAAATTTCCCAGTAGTTTTCACAAGCGCCGGGAAATACAACATAAAAATTAAGGAAAAACGGGAATTTTTACGCAAAATCGGTTTTCCAAAAAATCGATTTTGGTTTTTGGTGTAACTCTAAAAGAAATGAACGTATATACATGGCATTTTCACTGGTTGTTTATATTTGCATTTTATATACACGATAACATTTTCAAAATATTTTGATTTATTTTGAACTGTTTAGGGACATTTTCATTTTCCATTTTTTTTGAGTTTTTTTTCTAAAAATATCAATAAAATTTTATTTGATGGTTAAAAAAAGCTTGAAAATGTAAAAGAAGGCTCCTAGTATATTATATCAATGGCAGATGAAAAATATTAAAAATCCTTAGTCACTGTTTCTTTTAATAAGCATTTAAAGTTCAAAAATTGACAAAATATGGAAAAATCACAAAAATTAGCAAATTATTTTGAGTTAAGAATTCCTAAAAATTTTCTTTTTAAATCTAAGATTTGAAAATGTAATACAAGATTCCTTATAAGATTATCTACCTTTATCAAAAAAAAATGTCTATAAGAAAGTCAAATTAAATTTTTATGAGCGTTTGAAATTCAAATTTTTACAACATTGGATATTCACTCGATTTCTCATGTAGCGATTTCCTTATTTTGTTGTAATTCAAAAACGAATAACTGTAGATACATGAAAATTTCACTGAATGTTTAAATTAGCATTTCCTATACACCATACAATTTTGAAAATATTTTGACTCTTTTTGAGCTATTTACGAACACTTATCGCTTTCAATTTTTTTTAGTGTTTTTTTCTATAAATATCAATTAAGTTTTATCTGTTGGGCCAAAATATGTAAAAATTTAATACAAGGATCTTGATATATTGTTACAATATCAGTTGAAAAATATTAAAAATATATAGGCAAATTTTTTTTTTATAAGCTTTAAAAGATCGAATTTTGACAAAATTTATCAAAATCTCGAAAATTATCAATCATTGTAATTAATAAATTATAAAATGTTCAGTTTTTATAGCTAATGATTGCAAATTTAAAACAAAGGTTCTCATAAATAGTTCATACTGTAAACAAAAAATCTAAAAAATATATGAACACAGTTATTTTTTACAGACATTTTAAATTCAAATTTTTACGAAATTAGTAATTACATATTAAAAAACCTAGAATAACTATTTTAGTTATTTTGTTGTGAATGAATAATATTATTCGTGGGTACTTGAAACTTCTAAAGTGTACTATTATATATCTCATTATGTATCACGGTTTTTGTTGATGTATAACGCGTTATAAGTACCTAATGGATATTGTGATATGATTAATTTTGAATTTATTATAGGTACCTATTATAGGTCAAATTTTTGTTTAATACCATAGATATGTATATAATATGTCTTATACCTAGACTGACATACCGTCTCTGCTCAGAATCGTTTTTCTTATACAATGAATAATGATATTATATCGTTGAATTCAAATTTAATATCATCCATTATACAGTGACCCACTTGTAACCTACTGTACATCAGAGGGACACCCACTTGCCCACCTTTTTTAATATTATTAACTACGTATTTTCATTTATTTTAAAAATAATTGTATCTGAAAATGCTAACCTTATTAGAATCAAAAACCAAATGCAAAAAATTATTTTTTTTTGCACTGTTGTAATTGGTAGGTAGCACACTGTATGAAATTTTTGTTTGCTAAATCGCATATAAAATCTGCACGTGTGATGGCGTGATGCATCCCTACTGTGTTTTTGGCTGTAATACGATTGAGAACGTTCGACCTTTTTTAGCGTACGATTGAGATCACTCGAAATGGAACAATGAAATAACCGCTGACCCAATAAAACAGTACTATTGAGAACGAAATTAAGTGCAACGTTGCCGAACTACATTCAAGTCAAAATAAAAATGAAATAAAACATTGAATAAAATAATTAAAAATTAAAAATTTTAAAAA